GGGTCCTTCTAAATGTGACATGTTAGAATTTTAAGATAACGATCCAAGATTGGTCCAAGGCAAGTCTATTAGAGAGAACTTTTTAGAGGGAAGTTAGAGCGATCGATCATTTCACAAGGAATTCTCACCATATCAGGCCAAAAACCCAAACTGACAATCACATTACAAGAAGATGTAGAAGGAAGAGTTGAATATCTTTAGGAAAAAAGCTAGGTTTTTAAAAAATTTGTTAAATGCCTTAAATCTTCCATTCCTTCATTTTAAGTACTGTTAATCTAAATCTTTATGAGTTTACAAAAAAAAATCTTAACTGGTATTTCCATAAAAGCTGAGATTTACATTTACACCAAAGTGAACCGCTAAACTAGAAATGTGCTATTAGGAACTTGGGGCAGTTTCGATTCACGAGTAGAAATTCTGCTGTGGAGCTGTTTCTCCATCTTACACACAATTATTGCACAATGGAATAGCTAAGAAACCTAAAAGTAATGCTAACGATCCTGGTTGGATTTAACAAATGCAAAATGGGCAATAAGGAAAAAATTTTCAAAGCAGCCACAAACCCATTTCCCACTTCCAAAACCTCAAATTGTCTTCTTTTATTCACACAAGAATAAAAACATGTATTAGTTGCGTTACCCTATTTACTTGTTATAAATCATAAAGGACATGCCATCAATTAGATAATGTGTACCAAACGAAAGACTATCAAACAACAATCATGGTTTACTTATGCTGCTTTGAAGTAAACTGACTCCTCTTTTAGTGTTATCTCTATGCAAAACTTACAACAGTATTTTTAAAAAGGATGAAGGGAAAATGATGCAATGTTATCCTCAATAAATATATATGAAAGCAGAGAATTTTGGGTCAACAAGTTTTTTCCACTGACCTAAACACCAGATCTCTCCAGAAAATGAAGGAGTCCTTCAGAAAGTCACATACAACATGACTTAAAATTTGGCCGAGTCTGCATATTTATAATTCCAATTTTACTCTAACCACAACTTAAGATTCAATACAGTCATTACTAGATTGAAGGAGAGAGGGGAGGGATGAAGCTGAAACCATATATGCTTTTTCATCAGATATGATGAAGTCTACTCTTCTACTGTTTGTTTCATCACATCATAGCCATATTCTTAAGTTTAGCACAGAAACACTTGCAAAGTATTAAATTTTACCATAGGGAAATTGATTTTGCTATAAGAAAGTTTCAGATTACCACTTAATCTCAACCAAGCTACATCAAACACTGAAAGTAATTATATATATAGCTTATAAAGTAAACTTGATCACTATATTTAAAAGAAATGATAACTTGGAGAAGTACCACAGCAATAATGTTTCAGCTGAAGCAATACAAAGCCCTCCTACAGTAAATGCCAGATCCTACAGCTAAAACGCAGTCTTGATTTAGTTAAGCAAGTCAAGCATAAGAGCCATCTCCTCCTTGAGTACTGTTCATTCAGTTCCAGCACTGGCCTCTCCTTACAAAACTGTATTTCACAAACATTCCTGGGGGACAGCAGAATCCACAGATGTAGTTTTAAACAAAGTTTTAAACTTGAGTCTTTGTAGTCTGAAATGGAGTGGTGGAAATAAACACATTATCATCTTCCTACAGTTTCCACTTGACTCCGTAGCTCTCTTCCCCTTCACACACCAATGAGTCAGAGTAGGGAGACAGAAAGCATATCTGAAAAGCCACAATTCACAGGGCACCTTGGCAGAGAATCACCTGAACACGCTATGCAGACACCAAGTCAGTGCCATGCTCCTATTAATATGCATTTCACAATTTCTAGGATCCGTAGAAACCAAGTTTGATACTTTTAAGATTTCATGCTCTTAAGAGTGTGTGATTGCTTATGCAGTTCTGCTACTAAGAAAATCAGAGTAAAATATACTTTTCAAATTGTAGTAAAGTGTTATTCATATTAATTGGCCCACAACATCATATCAGGATATAATGTCTATATAGCATATATTGAGCACACTATCAATTAGACAATATGGGCAAATCATCACACTAAATTCATCTACGTAGCCAGGAGGAAGTCAGGAATTTTGACACTCCATTTTACCTCTGGAGTTCTAGCATGTAAAGAACTTATAACAACTTCCAAATATCAAAGCACAACTAATTTATCATCACGCTCACACCATTCTCCCCAAGTTACAGTCCTGACACTTCTGATGAATAAGGAATACAAAATAAGCATTAGATCTACAGCATCAGACCTACAGTCCATGCAAATTCAGCTTAGTTCCAGCCTTAATCTTTACAGGATAGTTTCTTCTGACACATACCTTGTAAAGAACTGGACACTAAAGAATAGCATACACGAGGAATGTTTGAATTATCACAATATTCTACAATAGTTATAGTATTACAGTAAGTTACTTTTTTTCTAAGCTCCATATTTTTGGTTTAAATGCTTACTATTCAAACTGTCCCCAACAGAGCCAGTAACTGCCCAGATTCATCCCTGAGCTCATTTCATGAAAAGTCACCCATTTTTGGAAGAGCCTTTTCTGCCACTACCCTAGAAACAGCAGGTACACAGTGACACAAAATTGTAGGGAACAGAAGCAGCTTACTTTACTCTTACACACAGACCATTTATTTCTCAAAGCATGTAGCGTAATTGCCAAAATCTGTACACTGCTTAAAAGTTGAGAAAAAGTTTATGTCTGACGGTAGCTTCCTATCAACTAGTCTCGGATAGACACTACATAGAATGCATTAAGAAGTGTTTGCTGGATGTTCTTGCACCTGGTATCAGGGGATTTCATAACAGACGTGGGTGTAGACCAAGATTCACTGATTTAAGGCATACATCCATGAACATGCTTTTAGTCAAGAGTGGGCACACCAGAGAGTACAGAAGATGGCTAATTACCACCAGGACAAGATTCTGCCTTCACCTCCCCTCACTATCAACCACTTTGCTTAAGTTCACTCACTGCCTCGCCCTGACCCTGGGGATCTATTCACTTTCCACAGCCCAGAGAGGCTGCTGAAAAGCTGTCAAAGTAAATCTGTGCTCACTTTTTGGATGGTTTAATTTCAATAGAGCATGAAACACCCCAGGACGGTTAATAAGTTTAGGCAGGCCTGCTGTTCTCTCTAATATATTTTAATTATGCATCTGTTTTAATTGTAATCAGATTAAGTCACCGGAAAGGCACAAATTGGGATTTTCCCTAATGGCTATTGGAGCTTTTCATCAGTTTCTAAACACTAACAACGTTTAAAAAATAGGTAGAGACACGAGCACAACTGTGACATTTTCCAGAAATCGATGCAGTTTCTTTGACAACACAGTTCAAGTCTCATTAGCCACCCAAAGTAGCCCAAATGCAGAAGACAACTTCAGTCTCTAGGGGCGTCTCTTCCCCAATTAGCACAAAAGAATCGCTAACGTCTAAGGTAAAACTCCCCAAGAGAAATGAAAGCCAGGCTTTTTTATAAAGCGCTACTCCATCGATTGGGGAGGGAGGCGGGGGCCGGGGGAGACCATCAGCAGCATTATCTTAGCTCAAAGTACAGTGCAGTACACGTCAAAAGGGAAAGCTGAAGCAGAGTACGATCTCTCTACTATTTTGGCAACTGTCAAACGTGTTTTAACCTCGGGAAATAAAAGTGTCCCATCAATAAAAGGAAACATTACAGGGAAGATCTGTTAGGGGGCGGGGAGTAGCTTCCTTCCAGCCCAGATGTAAAATCGCTCAACGTGCTTTTGTTGCACCAAGAAATACCTAAGACTTTTTTTAAAACACACGTTCATTAAACAGTTTCCCAAATTGCTGCGATTTCCGCTAAGAAACTTAAGCTTCTGCCAACAGCGGAGAAGCAAGGGAGAGAACCTGCTGCAAACTAGGAACCAAACTCCCTCAGCCCGCCCAGCGCGCTCGCGTCCCCGGCGTTTGCTTTAGGTGTTAATGTTGACGCGTCTCCTAAGCCCTCAGGGGCTGGACCAGTTCCTCCAAGATGCACTTCGAGCCTTAACGCGGGAAGCTTCAGAGCCACCGTGGAGTCCCCACGCAGCCCGTCACCCCTTCCTCTCACTCCCTTACCTGTCATCATAGCAGAAATCCGCACTCAGGGTGTTGAGATACAAGGCGAGCCCCAGAGCGCTGCTCACCAACTCTGCAATCATCTCTCCACCGCCTTCCCTCCGGCTCGACTCCCAGCGCGAGGGCAGCAGCGGCAACAAAAAACAGAAGCATCAATCCCCACCTTCCGCCGCCTTCTCCTCCCAGCTTCACTTTTCCCTCGCTTCCCCACCCTCCCTCCTCTTCCTCCCTTCCTCCCTCGGGTCCTTCCAGTCCACCGCTCTCCTCCTCCTCCTCGCGCCCGTCTCCGCAGCTCCTGCGTCCTCCCCGGGTGCGGGCTCACACCGCGCTCCCCATGCCCGGCGCCCGCGAGCGGCGAGCGGCGTTCGGGCTCCGCGCCCCCCGGCGGATGCACAGGGCTGGTCCTTCGCGCGGCTCGCGGCCCCCACCCTAACCCATGGCAGTTCAGGGCGCCCTAGGTGAGGAGTGGGACTCGGAGGAGGTGGAAGAGTGCAGGATGGGGACAGAGGAACCGGACCGAGCCGGGCTCTGGGACCAGCTGGAGGAAGAGAGAGAAAGAGGGGCGGGTGGGAGGGACAAGGCGAACCGCCTCCCCTCGCCGCCTCCCGGGCGCACGGCCCCGGTGCCGCTCCGGCTGACTCCGGCTGCCACAGCGGCTGCAGCTCATTCACTGTTTATTAGCTCCCTCCCGGCCCCAGCCCCTTCTCCAGTGAAGTGAGAAGCGGTGGCTGGAGACTCCAGAAGCTCCCGCGTGGGGTTCTCGGCGCTGCCCCCCGCGCCTGCGTGGCCAACCCTCCATCCCGGCTTTGCTCAACCCCTTTCTCCACCCAGATCCTCCCCGATGGCTCCTCCCACACTACCCCCCCTGGCTGGAGGCTCCTCCCACCCTCCCGGGTCTGGAGGCTCCTCCTATCCACCTCCCGCCCTCCCCTTGTTTCTTTCACCTTCGATTTCGCTCTGGAAAGCCCCTGGGACCCAAGGGCGCTGCTGGAAGACAGCCCAAAGGGGTAGCTGGAGTGCGCCCGGGGAGAGGGAGCTAGAGGAGAAACGAGACCGAAAAGGGTGAGGTCGCTCGCCCGGCGGCTGCCTGGTGGCGCCTGGCACCGGTTCCATCTCACCCCCAGCGCTGCGTGTGCCAGGCGCTGCCAGGCTAAGTCCGGTCAGCTGGAGAGACTTCTGGGGACCGGGAGAGAAAGAACAGGTTTGGCGAGTGCCGCAGCCTCGGTTGCCACAAACACACACGCGACATCTCACACACGCTCACAGCGCGTGAGCCGAAAAGGGGGCAAGAGAGAGCTATTGGAGAGCCTGATGGGGCATTTTAGGAGGGAGAGATTTCAGCTCCGAGCCTACCGTTGTCCCTAATGTCAAAGGAAAGACGTGTGGAGAGGGAAAAAGAGGAAAGACGCGCGCACGCATATATACACATCTTGCAGCTGCAGGGGCCTTTCATATTTTCAGGGAGACTGTCAGGCGACCCTAAGAACATGGGGAAGAGACGCCTCTGCAGCCCAGGACAGCGCTGTCCTTAAACCTAGGAAGGCGGGAAGCTAATGCCCTTTCCTTTCCGCCCGGATGCAGGACTAGATGGAAGGCGTCCAACATGATGAAATATGGTGTAGAAGAATGGCCTGTGTAGAACGAGCTCTGGGTACTAAAGTTGCAAGACCAAAGAGGACCGTGGGCTGCCTGCCACACCTCCTCCTGGCTTGTCCCCTTTCTGGCTGAACGAGTGGTCCCTTGGACCACGATGCACACTGCTGCAGCGCCCCCTGCTGCATGGCCACCACAGTGCATGGAAAACAGTCCTGCAGAGGGCTGACTTCTCCCCCACCCCTTCCCCAAGGGCAGAACTTAACCAGCCAGCTCTCAAAAACTGCGGAAAGAAATTGAGCCCCCTGGATGTCTGGCAGTGGCCTGAAAAGCAAATACCGTGGTTTAGGCATCTGCAAAACAAAGCTCCATCTTTTCCTAATTTCACAAGGAAATCTATGTAATCACAGATGAAATGATGAATATTTATTAGACCTATTATGCCATGCACGATGGGCCCGTTTTCGTCCCCTGGGAAAAACATACTGCACGTAAATATACATAAAAGGGAATTGTATCTTTAAAGACAGGGACTGATCTTTTAGCTTTTTTTTTCATTCCATACCCTCTGCTCACCGTCAAAAAGTTTTTAAAATCCTGTCAGTTGTCCCATCAATGTCCTCTGGATCTGTGTGCTTACATGCTGTTACTGTGCTTACATGCTGACTCTGGATTCGAGTACACGGGAGGAGGAGCACCCTACAGACAGTGAGTCCCTGCTCTGCTGTTATTATCTGGGCGACCTTTGGCCAGTCACTGACCCTCTGTGTGCCTCAGTTTTCTCGCCTATAAGCTGGTGATAATAATACCTACCTATGGGTACTGTTACCTATGGGAAGTGTTAGCTATTATTATTATTATGTTTTCGCCCTGCCTCCTTTCCTTTTAGTTGTTAACTAAAACCTAGATGTTTACTTCGAAAACATATCCCACTACATCCAAGGCACCCTCATTTCCTGCATGGACTGTTATGGTCGCCTTCTAAGTGGTCTCTTTACTTCTACTCCTGCATTTCCCCCCGCCCCCCCAGTCTTAACTTCGGGCATTAGACACAAGATTCTTTTGAAAACCTACAATCTCTCTGCTTTAAAATGTTCTATGATTTCCTGTTGCACATCGAAAAAATTGTCGTTCTTCCCATGGCCAGCCAGGCCCTCATTGGCGGTGATTACCTCTCTGCCTTAGCATTCTGCTCCAGCGCTCCAGCTACAGACATCCTTCCCCTCTGGAACCTACACTTTCTCTTCCTCCCACATGGACTCCTTTCTCCCCAGATCTTCTCTAGCTCCTTCTCAGCATTCAAGTCTTAGTTGAAATGCTGTGACCCCAGAAAGACTTTCCCAGCCTGTCCCTTCACCTCTTGTTATCTTCTTCACAGGATGTGTGAATCTCCACTACAATGGCAGCGTCAGCAGGGCAGGGACCTTATCAGTCTTGTTTTCCACGTCATACTCAGAGCCTTCTGAACAGGTAGAAGAAACTAAAAAAAAAAAGTTGACAATCAACAAATGAACAAATACATATGCTCAGCAGCAGCTGTATAACTGTAAATCCACACATTTTCATCGCGAGAGAAGAGGGCAGACTGATGTGTTGCCGATGTTAACGATATTGAAGAATTAACAAAGGAGAGAAGGAGGAAGTAGGTTAAAAATTCTTAAGAATGCATCAACTCTGCAGAAAATCCTGTGGTGGGAAGTCACACACAGACAGCTCTCTTCAATAATTAAGGCGACTCAGAGGCATAAAAGTATTAGAGTGGTTTTGGTCCAGTGTGCTAAAAGCTCGGAAGCATTTTCCAGAGTTGTCTCCATTTTCAAGGCTCCACTAGTTTTAAATAAATATTTTCTCCTCTCCCCACCCCCAACTCCTCTGAGTTGGAAGCCGGGGAGACTGTGAGAAATGCCGCAAAGTAGCACATCTTGCCATTCCTGATGAATGGAAGGCTGAAAATCCAGCTGTGTTTGAGAAATCCAGTTGCTTTTAACAAATTTCCCTATTATAATTTAATGTGGGTCTCAGTGTTCTCCCAGTGCATTAAGCTTCAGTCACTCTCAGTCTGCTCTCCAAGGGCTGAGAAGCAGCCAGTGCCTGCAGCCGCTACCTTTCTTGAACAACATGGAGGGGGAAATCGGATTAAAGATGTCATCGCCATCCTTGGAGATCATTTCAATCTGGGGACATTGCTTTTTAGTTTGTTAAGGTGTCTTTACTTCATTGTGGGATTGCGGCCTCGGTTCTGAATGTATATGTATATTCTATTTAAAGCTACTGTTGCTTTCCACAGATGAAGGAAATTAGGCTGTTTGGCTTGACTTTTCTACCTTAGACACGAGACTGGCCAAAAAAGCGCTAAGCCCTTGTTTTCCTGAAGTAGGTTCCACACATCTGCTACCCCACCCTTTCCTCAGTGAATTCTTTTTTATAGTCGCCCTGACCTACCCTGCATTTGTTCTTCATTCCCGTCCTTTGTTGTATAATTCATACCTTTGCAGTGCCAGTTCCTCAGGGTAAAGATTTCCTTATTTGCCTAAGACATTTTTAGTTTATTGTGCAATACCATCTTCCCTTTGGGTGTTGCATAAATATTAACTAAAAATCCACATCTGGTCTCGGTCGTCATTTCTATTTGTCCTAATATAACTTCTCTTTGAACAATTCATTTGGAAAGTGTGCCAAGGGTGAAACGTGACACATAAATTCTCCTGCTGCATGAAATGCCTTTTCAAATGCCCACGGATTTGGTTATTTATGAACAGAAGATTTGCACCTCTTCCGTGCTCTCTCAATTCTAAAATTGTACCAGGCCAAAGTAATTACAATCTCCCATATGTTTTATGAAAAGGTATCCAAGAAACTCCTGGTAAAATCTTAACAGATTGACTAGGAAGCAGAAAAACACTAGCCCAGCAGGTGAAACTGCCTGTTTCGGGAGGTCAGAACAGAGCTCTCTGCTGGGGGACTCATAAGCTCTGGGCTTTACTCAGGAAATAACCCTGCAGGAGAAAAACAGCGGAGCGTGGATGAAATGTGGGTCAGAGAGCTGAAAGAGGCAGACGGGCTGCTTGGTTAACTAATGACGGTAAATGCATTGGCTACACATGTTACATTTCGACGTCCTCCAGCATACCATAAAATGCTGGCCTGCAGAGACTGCAATATGTAACATCGCTTTATCCCCCAACTTGTGATCCATTAGGAATATAATTAGGACAACGTGGCCACGGAAACAGATCCTGTCACCTCTGTCATAAACTCCGGGCTGTTAAGAACCAGCTGCTACTAAAATAATGATCACTTTAAGAATCTCACAGTCTCCTAGCTTCCAAGGATGTGGGGATGGGGAGGAGAGGGGGAGCAGGAGGAGTGGAGAAATAACATGTTAATAACCAGATATGGATAATTGCAGAGATGTTGAGGCTAATGATAGAATTCAGAGACTCAATCAAGAAAAGCAAGGACGGCCTCCTTCATAGAATCCCCTGAATGCGTTCACATGCACTGGTATAAACAGTGATCAAAACTATTCTAACAGCTTGAAAAATTGCACAGAATCTTGGGGAACAGAGTTTTGATAAGCCTCAGATTCTGTAAAATAAAAGATAAAGAGTAGAGAGCAGCTCAGTTTTGATGCAGACGTTTGTTAAATTAATCAGTTATTCGTGAATCTTGCCTTGATGTTGGGCCCAACACAGACCCTTTTAGGCAGCATTGTCCAATAGAACTTTCTGCAGAGGTAGTTTTACATCTGTGCTCTCCAGTGTGGTAGCCTTCAGCTCCATCTGGCCATTGAGCACTTAAAATGTGGCTAATGTGACTGAGGAACTAAATTTTAAATTTTGTTTAATTTTAATTAATTTAAATTTAAATAGCAACACTGACTGGCGACTACTATATTGGACAGCACATCTTAAACTGCCAGGACCTCCATAGCTGGCCCCCGCACCCTGGGCGTTGCAGGAGAATTCACATAAAAGCCAGTTGCCTGCTCTTCCCACTGATTTGTCCCAAACCTCTTGCTCTGACCTGCTCTGCACCACGTGTGACCTGCTTTTATTTGTAAAATAGCTACCAGCTTGAACACTTTCTAGGTTTAGGGCATTTTACTGAGGACCTTATGAAGGCATTTTCATGATCTCATGTAATCCTCACAATAGCCCCGGGTGATAGGGACCATTTCTATCCCTATTTGACAGAGAAGGAAATGGAGGCTCAGAGAAGTCTATTAAATTGTCTTACGGCCTCTACGTGGTGGAGCTGACGTTTGAACGTATGTCTTCTAATTCCAAAAATCTATACTTTAACCACTACTCAGTATACTCTTGTTGCCCCTTCTCTCATTCAAAAAGACACATCCACTAGGATCTACTTCAAGAGAGGGCATTTCTGGCTACAACCAAGTTGGTTTAATTAAATTCATATCCTACCTCCTCTATCCTCCCTCAGATGATTTGGGATAAAATACTGTGGAAGTCTTTCTCTGTCCACCACTTTTACCTGGCTTTTCCCAAATCTGGTATAGAAACCTGCAAAGACCACACTCTAATCAATAATAGAAACTCTCCCGCTAAAATAAACACACACACACACCATATATTTTTAAACATAAACGTATTCAAATCATGCATAGACATTTTCCTAATATAATCCACACCATCTATTAGAAAAATAGTTGGGATAAGTAACATAACCCAAACTCCAACACAATAATGAAAGTATTAATGTAAATTACAATTTGGAAAACCAAATAAAGCATTCATAAAAGTGCCTTAATATTATTATGTTAAAAACCCCACTACACTACAAATTTGTACCTCATTTAGCATATTTGATCCATTTATTATTCCTATTAAATGATTAGAAAGTCTATTTGCATTTTGGCCTCTTCGTCTAATAATAAATGACAGAATGTCAATGTATTTAAAACTTTTGCAATAGATTTAATTAAGTTGCCCATTTGAATTAATATCTTAAAATTTGTAATGCTCTTACTTTATTTAATAATTACAAGTGAATAACATCTTTATGGCCTTACATATAGACTTCCACCACCCTGTATTTTTCTTTCCAAATGCTCTTTACCTCTTTCATCTTTTTTTCGTCCTTTTCAATTGAATTCATTTTTGCCTGTTTTGGTCCTACAAAGGCATTTAAATCTTAACGCACAAAACAACAAAGTCACCTTGGCACATGTGAAGATTTGACCTGAGATATACAAACTAGTGAGAAAACAGGTTGTCTGCAATGGTAGATTTGAAACTAAGACATCTATTTTCTTGGCAGTCAGTTCCAGAGAGTCAGTCCTTGGATTAAAGTGGACAGATGATGAAGACATTGAATTCATCAACTTGAAGCTGAGCACCAAGGGGAACCTCAGTCAGGAGCCTCTCGTCCCTCCAAACCTCTTCCCTGAAGTTAATGACATGCTAGTGCTAGGCTGGAAGGTTATGACCCATTGCCTATGAGAATTTTGGCCAAGTGTCTCCTGTGATTTATATTGCAAACATGTGAGGCAGGCAACCACAGATCTGCTTTCTGTTACTGCAGATGAATTTGCATTTTCTAGAATTTTCTATAAATGGAAATAACACTATGTACTTTTGGGGGGAGGTTTGACTTCTTTTGCGGCATAATTATTTTGAGGTTCTTCCATGTTTTTGTGTGTATTAATAGTTCATTTCTTCTTATCTCTGAGTAGTATTCTATTTGTATGGCTATACCACAATTTGTTTATCCATGTATCTGTTGATAACATTTGAATTGTTTTCAATTTCTGGCTACTGCAAACAAAGCTGCTATGAACATTCATGAGAAGGCTTCGTATGGACATATGCTTTCAAGTCTCTTGGGTAAATACCTCGAAGTGGGACAGCTCAGTCATTCGGTTGATAGTGTTTAATATTTTAAGAAACTTCCAAAGTGGTTATACAATTTATATTCCCAAAAGTAGCTTATGAGAGTTTCATTTACTCCACATCCTTGCCAACACTTGATAGGATCAATTTTTCTAATTTTAGACATCCAAGTAGGTGTGTGGTGGTATCTCATTATAGTTTAATTTGCATTTCCCTAAGACTAATGATGTTGAGCATCTTTTCATGTTTATTCTCAACCCCTACATCTTTGGTAGCACATCTGTTCAAATCATTTGTCTCTCCTCTTTTTTTGTTATTGTTGTTGTTAGCTGCTTAAAGCAACACAAATTTGTTAGCTCACAGTTCTGTAGTCAGAATCCAGCATGGTTTAACTGGATTCTCAGCTCAAAGTCTCACTTGATGGAAATCAAGGGTTTAGACAGCGAGGCTGCTTCATCTGGAAGCTGAGAGGAATCCACTTCCAAACTCATTCTGGTGTTGGCAGAATTCAGTTCTTTGCACTTGTAGGATTGAGGTCCCCATTTCTTTGCCTCTCAGCTTTTAGAGGCTGCCCGCCTTCCTTCTCGCCAGGCCCCCCTCTATTTGCAAATCAGCAACAGGTGCGTGGTGTCCTTCCCAAGCTTCAAATCTCTCTGACTTTTTTTTTTTTTTTTTACTTATTTTAATACTTGCATTATTTATTTTCTTGTTATTGAATTTTGAGAGTTCTTTATTTGAAATACAAGCCCTTGGTTAGATATGTAACATTTGCAAACGTTTCTCTCAG